TATTGAAAAATATCTGTCATTTCAAAGTTTTGGGGTGTGGACCATCGGGGGTAGTCCGTTCCTGACTTTGTAGCAAAACAACTGACTCCTGCATGAAAGCTCATCGAAGGAATTCATTTGTTTAGTCAATTACCAAAATTTGGATGATTTTGAATATTCACTTGAAAAGTTATCAAAGAAAAACATTTTTCATTTTGTAACTTCGAGGGCCCGTTACTTGGTAAAGAAGGATTTTAGGAAAAAAAGTTATATGAAGTACTGGTGATATTTTGACCCCATCTATACATTCCCGAGAGGAAAAGAGGAAGTCCAGGGACACCCTGTATATAGCAAAATTGAATTTCTTGTATTACATCTGTAATTATTCAGTGGAACTAATAATTTTCAGTATGATTTTACAAAGATCATCAATTGATGTTCTGGCGTGGTCCTTCACGAATGGTATTACCTGGTAATGTGTCATCCCGAGTGTACATCCGTGCGTCTCCGGCAAGATCCTACTTGCCATATTCATATGCTCTGCTTGGTAGTTGAACTTGAAATTGAAGTCATTCTTATCAATGCTTGTCTACTTATACATTTCCATAGGTTGTAGTTTGGCGTGGAAAGTCCTGATTGGTCGATGGTGTGCGTGTTTGGTGGAAAACGTTCCGGTTGGGTGGTGTGATGTGTTACGTTTTACTGGAGGTACATTGATAATTGTTTTGGGTGGTGTGTTTGCTATCCGTGATGCACTGGCCTTGGTTCTGGATATGATGGTTTTCTATGCTATTGTTTGGACTGCCGATCACCATTTAGGTTACCTCTTTTATCATTGTTTTTTTGGTGCTGTATACCGGCAATCTGTTTACAGCTTTTGAAGTCGATGGTATGACCAGTAAAAAGGTGGTGTTTGTATAGGGCAGAGGTTGTTTGTTTGTTTGTTTGTTGCTTTGCAGCATGTCACTATCAGAGAAGTAGGCAGATTGAGATCTCCGTGTAGTGATAGCTTCTGGTGAATGGCTTCAGAGTCAAAGCCAAAACGTCGAACTACAGAAAACTCAGTTCAACCTGGACTGTAAATGATCAGATTGCTGATCACGGAAACTCGTGTCCAAACTTGTGTCCGAAAATGCTTCGTTTCGGAGATACGGGGTGTTGAAATTGAATTTTTTTGTTAGCTTTTTGAAAATAACTCTTGCCAATAATAAGTTATTTGCACGAAATTCGGTACCCGGGGTTTTTTTGACGTGGGAAATCATAATTTCGTATTAATTTTCATGTAACATCTAGAGGGCGCTGCGTACGCTGTCATTATTTATTTCAAATTGCCCTAACATTTTTGACAGTAAACTTTTGGTACTTTAGATTTTTCAAAGAGATGCTTTAACGTTTTATAGGAATGCTCAAAATTAACTACATTATTCCAGTCGCTTTCGAGCGATGATGCTGTATATACGACCATATCTGTGTTTTTTTTGTATTTGCAACAACTTTGAAATTTAATCTTGTGAAGATTGCATTGTGATCGGACCAATTTGAAGGGACAACATCACATGATATAAGATTTTCGCTTAGATTAGAACAAAAGTAACCAATTAATGATGATGAGTATTGGGATGAGCGAGTTGCTGAGTTTACATGCATTTTTATATTGTAACATTCCAAGAGATTACACAGTTTTTGTCTATCCATAGAAACCTCATTCAACCAATTTATATTGAAATCACCAGCAAGCATAATTTAGCTACTGACCGGTAGTTTCGATAGCAATAACTCAAGTTTATCAATGAAAGTATCCTTATTACCGGTAGGGGCTCTATAAATACAAATTATGTAAAGATCTAGCTTTTTACAATAAATTGTACAATTTTCAAAGTCTTTTTCCATTGCCATATTTTCTGGATTTTCAAACTGCACAAAACTAAAACTGTGGTCTTCCATCAGAGAGTCGTGGGCTAAAATAAGGGTTCCACCATGTGAATATTCGATTCTACAGTATTTTGCAATGGGCTGATAGCATGGTAGCTGTATTGGTTCATCATCTTCAAGCCAGTGTTCAGTTAGGAGGACTAGCTTAGGATAGTGCATTTGATTTGCTCAAGTAGTATGAAAAGCTCGTCTGTTTTGTTTCTAATTGATTGAATATTCAAGGTGAGAATGGTTAGGATAGAACGATTCCTGGAATTTTCTGTTCTAAAAAAGATTCTGAGGGCGTATTAGACGTTTTTGTGATTGTGTCATGTGCTGTAAATTTTGGTTTGCAATTTGATTTCTGGATATCAAAATGTTGGTTTGATAAAGGTTGGAGTTCATTTATTATTTTCAACAGTTTGTGTACCAAAAACCGATTTGCACTCATTTTCAATTCATATCCGTTTTTACAGTAATTGCTTCGTCTAAGGGTATTGTTGCATTCCAACAATTTGCAATTATCCCTTTTCGTGAGATGCAATTTTTCAAAAAAATAGAGATTCCTCTCGTATATTATTTGATTAACGTTTTTGTTATATCTTTATGGTTCTGAGATGACAATTATGTTTTTGTGTTGCATTCTTGACAATAATTCTTCTAATAAATATGAATTTGTTTTATTCAACCAGATTATGAGGGCATCACCTTTGGTAAAATGTCGTGTGGCAGAGATGGTTGTTTTAATTAGTTCTTCATCCGGTGCCCCAGATTTACGAAATGCGTGGAAATAGTATTTTTGTAGACCATTTATCTTTTTTTTTATCGATCCAGAAATCAATAATATTTCATTTTCCTTTTGGGCAGGTTTTTTATTCTCGGGAGAATTGAATAGATCCTCTGACTTCAGTATTGTGTTGAACAGATTGTGGAAGTTTTCCAATTTCCCGGACAGTCCTTCCATTGTTTCTAAGTAGGAAGTTGTCAAATTTTAGTTTTTTTACTTCTGTGAGAAGCTCGTTTTCCTCCGTGAGAGTATCTATTCTTACTATCATATAATAATAATAGAATGGATTCATCAGTCAGAGGTTATACAAGGCATTATACATACACATACATAACACTTATCAGACTAGTCAAGAAAGAAAAGGAGGTAATCTACAAATAAATTGTTAATCGCAAACAAACCAGAAAAATTGTACATACAATAGTCAGTCTTACAATTATGAGATATCACGAATTATAAAATTCTTCAACATTATAAAATACTTTTTCAAGAAGAAAGTTTTTCAATTTATTTTTGAATAGAATGTCATTCAGATTCACATCTATCAAATCTCTTATTCTATTGAAACACTTGATACCAATATGCTTTGGTGAATTTTCACAGACTGATGACCTTGAATAGGGTTGTCGAAGTTTTTCTTTATTCCTAGTATTATACATATGAGTGTCTTCATTCCTCATTAGTTCTTTTTGGTTACGTTTTATGTACATAATCAGTTCAAAAATATATAAACATGGAAGGGTTAGTATTTGGAGATTCTTGAATAAAGGTTTACATGTTGTGGTTGGATGAGCATGACAAATCGTTCTTATTATCCTTTCAAATTTTGTGGCTGGATCTTCATTCATTATACTAAAATCGTTTTCCGTTATGTAGTTATTCACTTTTATACTTTATTTATTTATTCAGTATAAACGGGAAACCCCTGTATTACAATGATTGAATACAAAATTATATAATTAATGCCCTACACAGTAAAAACCAACTAAAACTGATATACACTGTGTCCGTAAAGTATGAAACAAATTTATTTTTAGCTAAACAGGTCATTTTAAGAAATAATCCTGAAACACGTCGATTTTTGATGTTAATTTACCGTATTTTAAAATAATAATCTAATATACAGGGTGAATTACGT